CATTTTAAAAATACGCAATTTGTCATCTAAACAAATTTTATTATTTTGTATACTCGCGTATACATATAGAAACTGTTTTAAGTTTAATAACATAACATTTCTTTTTGCTTTTTTTCGTGCGCTTATTGAATTAAATGACTGAATAATAAAAATGGCAATACAGTAGCCAAGAGGCAAACAAAGTGAAAATTACCATATCCAACGCTGTGTATTTTTATTTAAATTTCATTTGTCAAAAAAGTGTGTATTGTTATTAAAATAAAAATTTTCAAACAAGAAATGGCATGAAATAAGTTTCACTAATCTCTGGACAACTCTTTAGTTGGGAGGTGCGTAATGGAATTCAGCTAATTTTTTAAGCAAGAAAATTTTTAGTAATTTTATTTAATTTAAAAATAAATTTTGAGGAATAAAATTAAAGAAATAAAGCTTTCTTTTTTTCCCTATGTCAACCAAATATATATGTACATAAATTATATATTTTTTTAATTCGTTTCGCGGCTATACCAGAAGAAGAGCAATAATTTTTCCGTTTTGAAGCACAGATTAGAGTGAATAAATTTATAAATTACGAGTTTAATAGCTAAAGAAAAGTAGAGAATGAGTTACCGTTGTTCAAAAAATTGGTGTAACTTTTATCTGAAACAAGTATTTTATAAAATAGTTAACATAAATTTTATAACCCAACTGAATTTGAGTTAACAAAAAAATTTAAAGAATTTATATGATTTTTTTGGAATTTTTGTTTTATATATATGTTAACAATTTGTATATTAAGAAGTTCGTTCGATTTATTTTCTTGTATTTACAAAAAAAAATATGATTTAAAAAATATTAAGCGATTTCGCATAAGTGGTATTATTTTGATATTCAAAGAAAATTGACATTTTTTGAGATAAATCATTGGAATGTTTATTTCAATGTAATGGTAAAGATATTCCATTAATAATGGCAAACCACATCAATCAAATATCTACCACTGTTACCCTTACTACGGTGTTCTTTTTATGAAATTTTTTATCACCAAATCGCTAAGTAGCTTTTGAAGGCCCTCTATAGCTTCACGAATTCCATCTTTGTGGTCTTAAATCGCTGTTGGCCTGTTGGCGTAGGGCTCATCATTCGCATGGCCACAAAGGAATAATTCGCAAGGTGTTAAATCACAAAATCTCAGGCTACGATCACCTCTTCGAGAAATGATGTGGTCCTGAAACTTTTCCTTTAAAAGATCGTTGATGGTTCTTTTGTTTGGTAACACGTAGCGCACTGTTGTTGAATGTAAAAGTTGTCCACATCAATACCATTAAATTCCGCCCATAAGAAGTTATCAATCCATTTACCGTAACCGTTCCTCCAGCTTCATTTTCGAAACAGTTAATCCCAATGACTCCGCCGGACCATTAACTACACCAAACAGTTACGCATGGAGTTCGAGTGTTTCGAACTTATTGACGTAGCCAGCCAGGTGGAAATGGGCCTCATCAATCAAAACGATATTTAATATATTAATATTTAGTGAATTTTAATAATTTCAATGCATTGTTGAAGCGCCTTTTATATTATTGGCGTAGTTTTACAGGTCAATTATTAAGAAATTACAGCTTCGAAAGTTACATCTATCCGAATGGCAGGCTATTCAAACTAAGAACTTTTATTTTGGAATATTAATTATTATTATTATATTGAATTAGTTTTCTGATCAACTATATTTTGATGAATTATTATTATTATTTTTTAAATTATGTTCCATAAAAAATGTTCTTTCAGCATAGTTTTTATAATACAAGTCTGTTAATCTTCCGAAATTATTTTTTAGCCTTGACACAAAAATAGGATAAAATTGACAGAAAGAGATTTTTTGACCTTATACTTTCTTTTCATTTTAACTTCAATATATTACAGCTTTAAAAATATTTTACATATATTACATATATATATATTTTTTTTTAATGTTAAGCCACATAAAAATAATTTTATTTCCATTAGATTTCAGAAAATGCAGTTTATTGCGAGTATGTTTTAGTTTTCTTTATTTTTTGTTTTTGTTGAAAACTTTTTCATATTTTGTAATTTTTTTTAAATTCTAAAAAGTTGAAAATTTATTTTCTAACAAAAAATTGATAGCACAAGAATAAAGCAAATTCAGAAAAACATATTTAATGTCAGATGGTTAATTATTTTGAAAATAAAAATGTGAAACTACCTTGTTGTTTGTTTCATGGGTCTGCCTTTACTAATTTCATATCAAGTAGACCTGAATTGTTTATACTAATGATACAAAAATTTGCCATAACTATTTCTCGAACTTTAACTTTATCGAAGATATTTTATATTTAATTTAATATGTTTGTATTTATATTTCAAAAATATTTTGTAAAAAAATTTACACGAACAAACCTAGATTAATTAAATATTAATTATTTTCAAGTAAGCGCTCATAACACTACTTCATCCTTAGGTATTATCAAAAGCAGAAATTTGCCGAAAATACGTACATATGTTAATTATAAAAAAAATTTCTCCGAGTTAAGAATAAATTGAGCCTTCAAGGAGCAGAAGGAGAAATATAAAGTATGAGAAGATCGGTGTAGAAGTAGTCTGAGATAGAGAAAATGAGCGCTCTACATTGACATGTCTTAAGTTGGAACCTTGCAAGTTTTCTCATAAATTTTACAACAATTTTTCTTTCTCTCCTATCTCTACCGCCTACCTTCCCTCGTCGCACTTCGAGCACTTTTATTTACATAGTTTCTGTTAGGTTATCTATTTACTTCCATATATCTGGATCATAAATGTTAAATTGTTTGTTTACAATAATAAAATATTTGATGCTAAGTTTACAAATAAATGTACAATATTTGTATAAATAGCCCATTAAATATAGATACCTTCACACCAGTACAATCTAAAAATAATTTACAATAATTTCTTGAATTTAAGAATGTCACAAATGACTAGCAACACATTAAACAAATAAACATTTTAATTAATATTGTGCAGTAAGATAATCAATTTAAATATGGAATACTTGAGTGGTAACGGAAATAGCAGCAACAGCAGCAGTAGCAGCAGCTGTAGTGTTGCAACAGAGCATTGGCAATGATTATATCTGATAAATGTAGCAACCCATATGAACGGGAATATACGCATACATCTATACTACAAAACATACATATATGTATATTCATATAGAGAGAAATACATTTATAATGCACAATCGTGAAATATCAGAGTTTCTCCGCTCCGAGTTACACTTACAGCTTCACAAACGTAAACGTGGCTGTACCACTGCCAATACTGAAATGTACTCCATGCCGCGTGGCACGCGTATAAACTCTTCTATAAAATGATAAACAAATTCCAAGCACAAAGATAAGAATAAAAATTTATAACCAAACGCGCATTGAGAATCAATTAAAATTAACAACAGCAACAACAAAAGTAGCAGCAGAAAAAATTAAACATAAATAAAGATTACAATAATAACAATAAATAGATATAAAAATAAATGAGCGAGTATGGCTTGGCGGCGGCTAGCGGAGAATGAATGAATGAGTGACTTGAAGAGGACTAGGGAAAAAAGCAAAAGCGTAAATGATGAAGGCATAATTTACAGCGCGTGGCATATTAGTATGTTCCACCATACACATAGACATATACATATACATATATGTATGGTAGTATGAATTTATGTATGACATGTTGACTAGCGGGAGCAGTGTTTTTTTTTTTGTTACTTTTTGTTCTTGCAGCATCTACTAAGATGTTATGATTATGTGATATATATGTATATGCCACATGAGCCTTTCTTTTACGCGTTCTAAAGTCATTAATGTCATCAGCGCGTAATGTGCTTTTGGTGGCTGCGATATGAATGCGTGACGCGCTCTCACAGACGCTTACTGAATAAACAAATGAAAGCAATGAAAAAAATAGGCGCTCATAAACCTATATGAGTATGACTTTAACGTAAAGTTGCAGCAAGCAGTTGGCTAAAGCCAAAACTGGCAACGCAAGAGGTAGAAGAAAAGCTAGCGGGAAGAAGAAGAAGAAGTAGCAGAAATGACGATCACAAATTACGCGCTGTCAATAAAACTGACGGCAATAAAAACGCAGAATGAACGTCTCGAAGCGGCACACAGTGGCGAAGTTTTGAAATAACATTAGAAATATTTTTGAAAAATCAAATACTATTTTATTTTATTTTATTAAAATTTTTTTTTTTTAATTTTTTGTTAAAAATGCCTTTGATCCGTATATTTGTATTTAAAAAGTGTATATAATACGCTATCATGTTACATTTTACCCGTAGATTATGTGCACACTCTCCTAAAAGTACATTTTTTTAAAATAAGATGTGGCAACCCTACCGAAAGAATTAAATAAACCACCTAAAAAACCTAGTTTGCTAACGATTTTTATGCATTTGAGAATTTTCTGATTATTTTTATGAGTTTTCATAATTTTTGGTTAGATTTAATTAACGAGTTTTCACTGTGCAATGCATATGCTGGAGCAGTGGCAACGACGTCCTCTGCAATAGTGACAATATCGTTGTTGTTGACATGCTGACACAGCCACTGAACACACTCGACTCGTGCTGCGTCGCAACAGCGGATGCTATCTGCCCCTTGGTGTTAGCGCAACAAGAGATTTAACACCTCAGCTGAACGCGCGAGCCCGACCGACACTGGCCATTGATGCGACAATCATTGGCAGTCACTGCAACAGGCTCGCCAACATTAATTACAAAACACATTAACTTTGTAAATGTTGCACAAATGCTGTTTATTACTGGTGTTGCAAGGTGTTATGTGTTGCATAAAATTTAGAGCCTCATCAGTGAGTTGCACCGTTTAATGAGCTAAAGCTTGCAGGAAGTCATTATTTTGCCATTTATAAATTTAAACTAAACTGACTTTTATGCATTAATTAATAATATTATTAAATGTATTGGTATTTAATATAATAATTTCCCCTTTCTCTCTCTCTTCTTTCAGTCCCCCGAATTTGACTATCGGCATGAGCTGATGGGTCGTTTGCATAAAATCGAGCCAGACGTTGAACTTGAAGTATTATCTACAGCGCCGCATCACCACCACCATCATCATCACCTGCATCATCATCAACACCACCATCAGCATCAGCATTTGCATCAACATCAAGTCTATTCACCGCAAAGTAATCATAGTGGTGGTGGTGGTGGCAGTAATACACTTGAGCATTGGCAACAACAACAACAACTACAAGCCAATAGTAGTAGTAACGGTGGCGGCAATCATGAACATTCCGCTTACGTACAACACTCAACAGCAACCACCGCCTCGGTTGTGGTATCAGCGTCCACAACCGTTGCCACCACGCTACCAACACAGCCAACGAATGGTGGTGCAATATCCTCAGCAACTGGCGCGGGTCAAACCGCCTCATCATCTGCATCATCATCGACGATATCTGCCTCTGCTAGTGATCTACCCGCCGATGCTTCAACCTCGCCGCACGCGTATTCTGCGTATGATAGTGGCGCGGCGGTGGCGTATGAAATAGCGAGCGCATATGGTGCGAGTAGCGCGACAGCGTCGGCGGTCACAGTGGCTGATAAGGAATATTTATTTAGTGAGTTTTAATTGAGACCTAAAAGTTTGCTTACAATTTAATTTCCAAATATTTTATTTCATTTTATTTTATTCCATGCACCTCAATTACTTTACTTTATTTTATTTTATTTTATTTTATTTTGTTTTGTTTTATTTTATTTTTTTTTTTCTATTAACNATTTTATTTTATTTTATTTTTTTTATATTTTATTTGTTTTATTTTACTTTAATTTATTTTATTTTATTTTGTTTGATTTTATTTTGATTTATTTCATCTTATATAAATTAATTTAATTAAATTTATTTTTTTTTGTTTTAGTTTATTTTATTTTAATTTATTTCATCTTATATTAGTTTTTATTTCGGTTTATTTTATTTTACTTAATTTTGTTTTATATTACTTTATTTAATTTTATTATATTTTACTTAATTCAGTTTTGTTTTATAATTCATATATAATTTATGTCAGTATATTTGCGAATGGTCTTCAGCTTTAGAAAAAAATTAAAAGATCACACCAATTTCAAATAAAACATTAACATAAGTTGACAATGACAAACTGTTAATATGATCACTAATGTCAACAGACGAAAACTCTGGTTTTTTCTAATGTATTTACTGTCAATGTTATACTGCTAATTTGTTGAAAGAAGGATGGGAGGAGAAACTCATTTTGTTTATTTTATTTTTCAATAAATAGCGACAAAATTGATTTTTATTCAAAGTTATTTATGAGCTTATGATTACTTTCCTGGCTTGACGACACAGCACAACATCATATGAAACGTCACAGCATGACACAACATAGCGTGGCAGTGTAAAGCACATAAACAAAATTGTATGTGGTGAGCAGCTCAGCAAATAAGTCACAAATAATTTATTCAGCTGTGAAATTTGAAACCAAATCGCAAAGCTGGAAAAAATCTTCCGTTGCTTTAATGCCATTTTCTCTTGACATTGGCTCTAAAATATTTATTTAAATACACACATACGTTCGTATAGGTTTATGATTTTTTGTATGGTAGATTTGTTTTTAATTTTTCTTTTTTTGTAATTTTTTTGTAACTCGCATTGAACTTACGAGTCTACCTAGACTTTGGGTTAAGTTAAGTTGGGTTACAAGCTTGTCAAAGCTCTTTACAGGGAGTTCAAAAAGTATTTGTACGCCTTCATTGCTTAACTAATAATGCTGAACTTCACTTAAAACTCTTTACCTTGACATATGATTAAATAACAAAGTGCTTGAGCTGCTGTTTTATGGGAATTTCTTCATTGATAGAGACTCCTATCAGACGGAGTAAGAACTTTGAATTTCAACTTCACGTCTTACTGATAATTAAATTAAATTATAGTTTCTTCAGTTAAAAGAAATATCGTGTTGTTATTTAAAAAATTCGTAATTTATTTTATAAATAAATTAATCTTTTTCCATATTTGTTTGATACTGGCAGGTTGTATATTTCTCGATTTAAGTTAAATCAATTAAAATTTGTGTTGGTGGCAACCTTACCCAAAATAAAAACATCTAAATGAAAGTTTAACTCTCTTCTTCCAGCTTCCTAAAGTTTTCTTCCAAATGAATAACCCCAACTTTCTCCCTGCCTTTTCAGATACCAAAAACAAAGAGGCTCTCTGCAATCCCTACGCTGACCTCGACGACCCCTACCAACGCCCGGCGCTGTGGGAGGACATCGCCAGCTCAATACAAAATATCGATCCTGAGAATGCGCTCATGTTGGGCAACAGCTCAACGAGTTCAACAGCGGCAGCGGCGGCTTCGGTGTCTGGTGGCGGCAACCCCACGCATTTGGCCCTTATTGGCGGTGGCACAGGCGACAGTGGCTCCACGCTACTGCCTCAAGTGAAAATGGAAGCAATCGATGATACGCTGTTGGAAACGCTCTCCACACCATTGCTCAGTCCCATGGAGATTAAGACGGAGAAGCCGGCGCTACAACAACACACACACCTGCATGCACAACAACAACACCAGCAACACTATGCCCACTATCAACTGCCAACACATCAACAGCATCATCATCATCCGCACCAGCTACCGTCCCACCATTCGCAACAAACGCATCACCAGCAGCAGCAGCAACAACAACAGCAACACCTCTACCAACACCATCCGAGTTTAGGTGGTAATGGTAGTTGCACTGATCTCGCCGCCGCCGCCGCCGCTAATGGTGATGATACAATAACGCTTATGCAACTGCACCACCAGCACCAGCAACAGCAACAGCAGCAGCATCATCATCAACAACAACAAAATATCGGCTCCTCATTGCATAGCAGTAATAGCAATAGTCCTAATCAACCAAATCGTTGCAGCAGCACCGCAAGCAGTCACAATGCCGAGTTGAGTGGCAGCAATCCGAATGCAGGTGGCAGCAACAACAATGCCTTAAATGGCAGTGATAATAATAATAGCAATATTTCCTATCAACAATATGCATCTCAACAACATTTAAATAGCAATAATAATTATCTCAATGGCAGTGGCGTTGGTCTTGGTGTTGGTGTTGGTGGCAGTCTTGTGGCCTCCTCTTCGGCGAATGTGACAATCAGCACGTCCGTAACGCTGACCAACTTAACGCCGACAATCACAACGCTCGACGGCAGTGCGAATAATAATAACAATAATAATAATAACAATAATAATAATAACAATAATAATACAACAATGAATAATAACTTGAATGCGAGTTACGGTTATAGTTGGCATAGTAATCAGGTGAGTGGGCAGCTGGCTTGCTTGTAGAGCATACAAATAAATTTTATTATATTATATTAGATTTACACCATGCTACACAAATTCGGTTTGATTTTTAGATAATATTAAAAACGTTAAAAAACTAAATTCGAATAAATTAAATTAAAAAGTGAATATTTATGAATTTTAAAAATTCCACAATTTTATAAATAAAAGAATGAACAACCCTTGAAGCTGTTCTTTTTTTTTAATTTATTTACCATCAAAGTGAATGCCTTATTTTTCCATTTAAGAAAGATGACTTGAAATAAATTTTCTAATTGTTAAATTTGCATTAAAAAAAAAAAAAAAAATTTTGAATTAAATCAATTTTGCAAAAAAAAAAGTATTTTAAATTTCTCGAATATTCAGTAAATTTATTCAGAAAATTTTAATTAGCTTCAAAAGTTCAAATAAAACAAATTATATGCTTCAAATTTTTTCGAAAACTCATTATTTTTACTTGAAATCTAATTTACTTAATTGAAAATAATATAAAAAAATTTGTTAAAAATTAATTTTCGTGATTGAAAAACCAAAGAGAAAGTGTTCTAAATTTATGAGCAAAATAATAAAATAACAAAAATATGAAAAATTTAATACAAAAAAATTAAAAATAAATTATTTAATAGAATTGCTTGGAAGAAAAATGTAATGTAAATGTAAATGCAATAACTAAGTGGTTGAAAACCTCTCTTCTATTCTATATTTGGATACTTTAAGACATTTCAAGTAGACAAACAATTATCATAATAAAATAGGGAATTATAATTTGCTTCAAACTAAAAGGAATTTAATATGAAAATTACAAAAACTTTGATGAAATTATGATTATCATAAAAAATTTGAATTCAAAAATTATAAAACTTTTCCCAAAAAATAAAAGTATTTTACCGCAATATTTTATTTGAAAAGTCTTAACCGAGAATTTTTTAAAAGAAGTTAAGAATTTTGGATTAAAAATATAGAGGAAACCAAATTTTTTATTTAATTCATACAGAAACAATTTTTGGAGTTTCTAAAGCTCAGGTTAGAAATTAGAAAATGCTTCTCTTTCTTTATACAACTTTGTTTTTTCTTCTTTTTTTTTGCTATTTTTTTTATTATTAACCTTAGAAAACTATATTTCCTTGAAGAAAAGGTAGTCAAGTGAAGCATTCTCAGCTCGTTGCAATCCAGCAGCCGAGTGTAAAAAATTAGTAATGCGAATAATAACAAATATGCTTGAATACACATATGTATGTAGTGTAATTTCAACCGAATGCAATTAAATTGCAATTATTTTTATCGCCTACACGCTCTCATTTTTTTTTTTACATTTAATTTGTGTTTTTTTTTTCCACTCAGTCGTATCACCCCAAATACCAAATACCGCCACCGCCTCTACAACAACAACAGCAGCAGCAACAGCAGCAGCTACAACATCAGCCATCACAATCAAATCCGCAACTTTGCCCACCTGCAGCACCAACCGTCGGCGTTGGCAATTCAATGTCAGCGCGACATATATTCGTACCGCCATTAACGCCACCCAGCTCAGATCCCGGAAGTCCGGGTAGTTCAATGGTTGCGGCTGCAGCCGCAGCAGCAGCAGCAGCAGCGGCGGCGGCAGCTGCGGCGTCTGGCGGCAATCCACAGCAGCAGCAGCAGCAGCAGCAAACGGGGCGACGTACCACACCACCACCGCCATATCAACAACAATTACTACAACAGCAACAACAGCAACAACAACAACCACACCTCCACCACCAACAGGGTCGTCCACTTTCAAGTATTTGCCCCAATATACTAACACTACAACATCCCAGCACAAATGGCACAACGTCAGCAATGACACCACTACACTCCACTGCCGCCGCCGCCGCTTCCTCCCTACACCACTTGAGCCCAGGCCGTACGCTGACAACGCTTGGTGTTAATGGTGTCGGCTCTGGCTTAGACATGGGCAGTGGGCTGCATGGCGTTAGTGGTAGTGGTGGTGGTGGTGGAATTGTTATGGGCAGCAATCGTGGTCGTGGGCGAGGTTGTGGTGGTGGTGCGCCTGCGCACCTCGCTAATTTGATTGTGCCGACGATACGTACAATACGCTACAATCGACGCAATAATCCGGAATTGGAGAAGCGACGCATACACCATTGCGATTTCGAGGGTGAGTTCAACTTCTAGTGTTTTTATATTTTTATATGTATGTAAACGTGAAGCAACGGAACACAAAAAATGTCGTAATGAATGCAATATCGCTTTCTGAAATATGGCTAAACATAAAATATGGATAAACATAAAATATTGCTAAATATAAAATATTGCTAATTATAAAATATGGGTAAACATTAAATATGGCTAAACATAAAATATGGCTAAACATAAAATATGGGTAAACATTAAATATGGCTAAACATAAAAATGAGTAAACTTTAAATATGGTTTAACCTAAAATATAGTTAATTAGAACTTGTTTTTATTTATTACAGCTCAAATTCACTTTACTTGTTTGCCATCTGAGATTTTTAACATATGGTTTAGACGTATTTGTAAACTTTCAGATTCTTCTTTAATAGCGTGACGCGGACACACTTTACGAAGTGGGTAGCTGCGAGCTGTAGAGCCGTGGAGAGTTAAAATATAAATGATTTATTATCTAATCTTTGGGAGAACTTCGATTTATTATGGGAATGTATGTAATAAATTCTAATAGAAGTCTGCTTCATGTATTTCGAACTTAAAACTGTAGGACAATCTATTTTAGGAATATTTAACTAAATAAGTGAGGAGCAGCTCGGCGTATGATCGAGGTGTTTGACAATCATTTATAGAATTTATTATTTTTAGGAAAATAAACATTTTGTTTTAGTACTTAAATACTTCCAACAATATATTCTTCTGCCATTAATTTTTTTATTTTTAAGAAATATAAATACAAAGTTTCTAAATACATTACAAAATCCTCTCTCTCTCTCTCTCTCTTGTAAGCACATAAAAGACATTAATCTAGCGCTATAAGTTGAATTTGTAATTAAATACTTCACACACAAATATTTCCAAGTTTATTTAAACAGACATTAATAAAAAGCAAAAGAGAAAACGACAAAAAACAGCGCGAATAACTGAAAAACTCGGTGACGGTTTTGACAGCTCAGTTCATTAAATATTGCTTGACACACTGGCATGTGAATGCATCCGCTCAGCCTGTTGAGGCAGCAAACGCGTTAAGCACATGCAGCACATGCTGAAATATTTTCATAATTGTTATTTTCATTTATTTCTGTAAAACGAGCATAAAATAGTGAGCGACGACAGGGACGTGACAATTTTGACAAAAAGACGCACTGTAAATTATTGTATGATTGTATGTATATATCAGGCAATATTTTCTGAAGTGTCCGAGGCTACTGAACTGTAATTCTGTAGGCAAGAGTGCGAGAAAAAATTGCATACTTTAGAGGTGCCAAATATGCGGGCAAATATCACTTAGAACACCGAATAAATAAAAAACTGAAAAATATTTTGAAATATTTTAAATTAAAAAAATATATAGTACGAAGCGGTTAAAAAAAAATAAGAAATCAGTAATAAAATAGAACAAATTATTAAAAAAAATGAGAAGAGAAAAAAGTGTTATGACTTCAGATAAATTTTTGAAAGATATTGCAAAAAGGTAAATGAAAATTAAATAGAAAAAATAGAAACAATGAAATAATGGAAAGAGATATTAAAAAAAAGGCAAGTATGAAAGATTGATAAAACTTTAAATAGAAAAAAAATTTAAAAAAAATATTATAAAAAAAGAAAAGAAAGAAATATTAAACATTTTTTAACATTAGTTATTCAATATTTGCTACTGCTCTCGTCAGTAACGCATTTTTGTCATGGCATGTCGCAGATATTGGCACACATACAAAGTATGTACATTAAACAGTCGACACATATCAGCTTAGTAGCAGCTTAGGTGACAAAATTTATAAATTTATAGCTTGTCTAAATGATCGCCACCATCCGGTTGTGCGGCTCAGAGTACTCGTATACAAAGTATTGCTAAAAAGTCTAAAACACTAAGTTTAAAATTTACTACAACTAGAGTAAAGCATGAGTGATGTAATGGGCGTCTTAACAGCCTGGATTATTTTGCCTTTAGGCTGCATCGGTTTTACACAAAATTGGTGTAGCTGAGCTGACGGTTAATATTTGATATTAATTTTGTAAGAAAAAACAGTTTTGAAAAGTGATACATAAAAGAAAGAGTGTGCCAAAATTCAAAGTTGGCGTCAAAACGCGAGAAAATGGAATAATTTTTTAATTGGCGATTAATCATAATTGCTATTAATTAAAAAAATAAATGTTTGCATAAATTTAAATGAACGTTGAAATGATGCATAAAATATTTAAGATTTAAAATCTTTTCCACATAAACGGCATATTTAGTCGTTGTTGGTCTACAGATGGAAAGGGTTATATAATTTTCGAGCCGTAATTAAATATATATTAAAATGACAAACACTGAGATAAAAGTTCGATTAATTTGCATATTTGCTATTAATTTTAATACAATTTGGATTTATAATTTAATAAATAACTATGAGTTTTTTACCATTTTTCTTCTTTAACTTGGAAAAAATATTTAACCAAAATTATTTTTGAGTTGCAATAAAAGGTGTTACTTTGATATTCAAAGAAAAATGACGTTGTTCGACATAAATGGTCGAGTGTTTATGTCAATGTAAAGAATAAGGTATGCCATTGATATTAGAAAACAATATCAGCCAAATGGCTGTCATGGCTCAGCTTACAGCACCGTATCCTTTTCATGAAATTTTCCAACACCAAATGGCTAAGTAGCTGTTGTATATTCTCTATGGCTTCACGAATTCCCTGTTTGAGTTCTTGAATCGATGTTGGCCTGTTGGCGTTGGGCGTGTTACATGACAAAATCTCAGTGGCCAATTTCGATCAACTCTACGTAAACTTTATCGTTAAAAATACATAGTTTGGTTGCATATGTGGCACTTACTGCCATTTCGCTCAAAGTAAACGTTGTCCAGATCAACACCATCCAATAGCGGCTATAAAAAATCATTAATAATTATCTTTCTACAGCTAAATCTATTCTGTGTAACTGTTACTTCAGCCTTATTTTCGAAAAAGTAAGGTCCAATGACTCCACAGCACCATAAACAGCACCAAACAGTTACACGTTGAGGATGCATAATCGATCTTGGGTATTTCGAGCGCACGTTGCAACAATTTTGCTTTCTAATGTCGCCATCGAGTTGGAAATGGACCTTCTCAGTCGATTTGATTTCTCGATGAAATTCTTTATCATTTTCATGCTTTTCACGTACACAATGAACAAAGACATGACGTGGCTGATAATTGGTCGACTTGAATTCTTGTGTTAACTGAACTTTATCAGCCTTAAGATCCAGGTCTTTATATAAATTCTGTTGCATTGATTTCAAAGAGCGATGAAGAATAAATAAACCTGGGGTTTCTCTAACACTTTGAGCAATAACACATCGCTAACTGGTCCCTTTAGCTGCTCCTGTTCCATCAATTTTTGAATTTTTAACCATTTCAATGCGTGGGTGAACCCTGTATCGTTTCTTTCTTATTCTCGCGTAGTTTTTACTGTCAAATGTCAAAAAGCGACTTCTATCGGAATATCAGACTATACAAAAGTACACCTCGCACTGGAAGACACGTTATTTCCTAGGGCCAGACTTATTTATACGCTCATTTACATGCAACACACACACGAACATCATGGCCAGCAAAACAAGCAAATTGGCAAGCGGCCAATGTGCCAATAGGTTATAAAATTCTCGACTTTCCTAAGAACTCAAACATATTCAATGCACATAAACAGTTATAAGTGTAAAATTTTTTAGTAAAAGACTAAACTCCTTTCCGTCTACGCCACTACTCAGCACAAAATGCCAATTTTCAAATTATTATATATTTTTGAGAAATTCCCAAATTATATAACCACTGGAATTTGCAAAGAGCGTAATCAAATGGTGCACCCACAACTTTCGGTTTATGCATACATATATACATATGTATGATAGTGTTGAATTTTCACTTTCCCACACGGCTGGCGGGCAGGCAGGTAGACAGACGGACACACGTTTGTTGCTTACTGCACTCGGCTGCCCTCTTAACAGGCTTCAGCTGGGTATTGTTTCTGTAACTGTCACACTGCTGTTTAGCTGTTACTGTTGCTCTTATGGCAAGCATGCTGTTGCACATTACTGTCATGTCAGACAACACCACTGTCTTCTAGCGCTCGCCTGCTCGCCTTTCTGCATTAAAGTCTGTCTGCTACTAAACACCTTTTGGTTATATGTGTTAGGTAGCTTTTTGGATTTCTTTTTTTTTTTTTATATCAATTCGCGGCAGTAGTTGTTGTTGTGACGTTTGCTAGCTGTTGACTGTCTGCTGGAAAGCAATATGTACATGACAGACACAAGCACATGTAACACATGACGGCAACTGTGACAAAAATAACAAGAGCTGCAAGCATACGAACAGCAAAAAGTACCGTAACGAGTGCAATGACAGTTTTTTTTTTTTTTTAACAAGTTACAGTTACGATTTTCTTTTGCCTCTTCATGGTTATTGGTTGACTTGTTTCAGCATTTCATTTGTCCTTTAAGTGTTTTTCTTGGAGGGAAATTTTTAAATATTCCCAGAAAGTTTTAGTACAATAAAAAGTTCGTGGAGATTAAGTCTAAATGTCAGACTATGTTATAACATAAAAGCCGAGTCAGAATGCTAATCGTATGTAAATACAAATACAATTTTCAATACAAAGAATAATTGTGATGGCTATGAATTTCTGCAAATCAAAAACCATTTACAACAACTATAATAAAACAACAAAAAATTTTAAATCAAATATCTGCTTATTTACAAAACATGGCATAACATAAAATATGGCCAAAGGTGAAATCTGGAATGACATTAAATTTTTTTTAATAAAATTTCTCTGAAAACTGTAGTTTATTGAAATTTCTGTAAACTATAAAAAATGGTGCGCCATAAAATTTAGTACGACATAATATATTGCCAACCAAAAAAAAAAAATACCACAAAAAAGTACCGAAAATTAAAAATTTCAGGCTTTATTTTAACATTTACAACAAATAAATTTGG